CCCCGCCCCTTCTGCCAAGCCCCACCCACCTCCTTGTCCCCTCCCCCTTTTCACAAGCCCCGCCCCTTCCACCCCACAGCCCTGCCCACAGCATGGCACCACCCGCCCAGCCTGGTCCCCACGTGTCCCCCTGCCAGCCCCATCCCCCGTGTGCCCCATGTCCCCACGCCAGGGCCCTGTTCCCGGGTCACCCCCATGCCCCGGGTCCCCCGTGTCCCACCTCACGGCGGGAGATGTCCATGAGGACGGCGAAGCTGGTCAGGTGGTGGCACTGGCAGCTGACGTGGCTCCGGTTGCGGAAGACGACCTCACAGCCCCGCGCCGACCAGCCACCCGTGCCGCCCGCCCTGCACCGGCACCCTCAGCCACCGTCTGGGACACCCATCCCACCCCACCCGGGGACACAGGGACACCCACCGGCACCCTCAGCCACCACCCGGGACACCCACCCCACCCAGGGACACCCACCAGCACCCTGTCCCTGATACCCCCCAGGGTCTGAGCTGCCCAGCACGACCCCATCCCCATCACCCACCCGTGATCCCCAGGGACAAGGCCGCCCCATCCCCGCACCACCAGCCATACCCATCACCATGTGCCACCCCCTCCCTCCCTGCCCGTCGGGGCACCCACCCCACCCTGTCCCCATGTCCCCTATCCCCACCCAGGGGTGTCCCTGTCCCTGTCCCTGTCGCCCCCCCCCGGCTCACAGCAGGGAGTGGTTCCAGAAGACGCAGATGGGCTTCGAGCGCTCCTGGGTCTCCAACAGCCGGAACTGGAGGGTGATGGGCTTCGCCAGCGCCCGCGGTGCCCGTGCCCCCCCCGCGTGCACGCTGATGCTCACCACCGGTGTGTTGATGATAGGGCGCTTGGGCACCCTGGGGTGCACCAGAGTCAGGGTCCCCACCCAGGCGTGGGTACCCTGTCACACTTCTCGGTGACCCGCTGTGCCCTGGCACCCCACGGGCACCCTCCCAGCCCCCTGTGCCCCCATGCCCTGGCCCCCCCACTGCCCCCTGGTCCCGCGGGTACCTGAGGCTGCGCTTGTCGGTGTCGTACTGCTCGGGCAGGAGTCCGGCCAGGGTACGGTAGATGATGACGCTGGCGATGGCCTGGCCCTCGCCCAGTGCCGGGTGGCGCTTGTGCCGGGTCACCAGGGTCACCTCCTCCTCTTCATCCTCCTCCTCCTCCTCCTCCTCCTCCTCTGTAGCTTCTTCATCCTCCCCTTCCTCCTCCTCCTGCCCACCCGTGCCCTGTGGTGGCTGCCCGTGCCCAGCAGAGGGGTCTGGGGTGCACGGGCAGGGGTCTGGCATGATGCTCTGCCAGCTCCATGGTCACGCCAGTGTCCCCAACCCTGCCAGCCCCATGGCCACACCAGGGTCCCCAGCTCTGCCAGCTCCATGGCTACGCTGAGGTCCCCTCATCCATGCCAGCCCCATGCCAGGCTCCCCAGCTGTGCCAGTCCCACAGCCATACCAGGATCCCCGCCCCGAAACCTGCCAACCCCTTGTCCATGCCAGGATCCCCAACCCTGCCAGCCCCATTCCAGGGTCCCCCTGACCCTGCCAGGCCCACTGCCACACTGGGGTCCCCAACCCTCCCAGCCCCGTGCCAGGGTCCCCAGTCATGCCAGCCCCATGGCCAAACGGGTGTCCCCCCAACCCTGCAAGCCCCATGGATGCAACAGGGTCCCCAACCCTGCCAGCACCACGCTGGGGTCCCCAACCCTGCCAGCCCACGGTTGTGCTGGGGTCTCCCCCACCCCCCCAGCCTGTGCCAGCTCCCCCTGTCCCCTCATTTCCCCCCACTGGGACTCACGCCTGCCCTCGGGGGGCCGGAAGACGCTGTCTGGCAGGATGACGGTGGTCTCCAGGTCGGGCGGCTTCTCCCCCCGCAGCGCCTCGTAGCGTGGCAGCCGGGCGCCCGCAAAGCTGCCCTTGTCCAGCCGCACCACCGACACCACTGCGGCACTGTGTCACCCAGGGGCCCTGCGGCACCCTGTGTGCCCGGCACCCACAGCCCCTGGCACCCACAGCCCCTGGCACCCACAGCCCCTGGCACCCACAGCCCCTGGCACCCTGTGTGCCCAGCACGGACCCTGGCACCCACAGGTGCTGGCACCCACAGTGCAGGTCCCTGGGTACGTGTCCCCTGGGCACACTTGTGGCAGCATCCCTTGTGCACACACACACAAATGCCCGTGATCCTGGGCACACGTGTGTCCCTGGGTACATGTAGCGGAGGGTATGGTATTCATGTCCATGTCACCAGGCACACACATGTCCCTTGGGACATACGTCCCCTGGGCGCACACACACACCCACAAGCCTAGTCACACATGTGTCCCTGGTCACACACATGCTCCCAGACACATGCATGTCCCCATCCCTCGGCACACAGGAACCCACAACCCTGGGCACACACATGCCCATGTCGCCACATGCACAGGTGTCCTTGGGCACACACATGTTCCCAGGTGCACGCATGTCCCCCAGGCACACACATGTCCATGTCCCCAGCACACATGTCCTTGGGCACACATCATGTCCCCCGAGCACACGTGTTCCCAGGCACACCCATGCCCACGTCCTCAGGCACACGTCCCCCAGGCACACGCATGTCCCCATCCCTGGGGGGGTGTCCCCGCTCACCGATGTTGGGGGTGACGATGGTGAAGGGGCTGAGGTAGGTCTGGGGCATGTTCTGCGCCAGGGCGCTGGCGTAGTCCTCGAAGTGCTTCAGCAGCCAGGCCGTGCCCCCCTCTGTCTGCTGGATCAGCTCCCAGTGCCGCTTGTTGCTGGTGTCCAGCAGGGCGCTGCCCACCCGCAGCAGGTTCTGCCGGGACGGGCAGGGGTGGGCAGTGCTGCCGGGTGCCTGCCACCCTGGCATCTGGGCAGGGTTTTTCCCTCCCTCTCTCTGCTTCGCTTCCCTGCAAGGCTCTGTGGGCTGGGGTACCCTGGCACAGACAGCTGGTGCCAGGTATGCTGTAAACCCCCCCCCATCTGTGGGTGAGGCAGTGCCCATCACCCTGGCATCTGGGCTTATGAAAGGGAGCACTGAGCCCACCCCACCTACAGCTCAGCGATTCCCTGGGGAGCAGGGAATGGAGGAGGTGCCCTGGCACTGCCAGCTGCTCCCAGGCACTCCCTGCCCCAGTATGCACTCCATTTCCAAAGGGTGCCCATCACCCTGGTGTCGGGCCTCCTGCCACTAGCCCATGCTCCATTACAGCTCAAGGGGAGGGGGCATCCTGGCACTGCCAGCCAGCCCCACCATCCACCCCTCTCCAAGCATCACCCTGCAGACACAGGCCCACCCCCCCCGCTGCCACGAGGGTGCCCATCACCCTGGCATCTGGGCTTCTCCACCAGCCCATGCTGCCCTGTGAATCACAGCATGGAGGGGGCACCCTGGCACTGCCAGCTGCTCCCAGCCATGCCCTGACCCAGCATGCACCCCCTTCCAAAAGGCTGCCTATCACCCTGGCATCCAGCCTCCTGCACCAACCCACCCACGAGGGTGCCCATCACCCTGGTGTCAGGCCTCCTCCACCAGCCCACGCTCCCCTGCAGATTAAGGCATGGAGGAGGTGCCCTGGCACCTTTCAAAAGGCTGCCCATCACCCTGGCGTCTGGGCTCCTGCACCAACACCCCCCCCCTTCCCATGAGGGTGCCCATCACCCTGGCGTCTGAGCTCCCGCACCAACACCCCCCTCCACCACAAGGGTGCCCATCGCCCCGGCGTCGGGCCCCACCTCGGTGAAGTGGACGTCCTGGGTGGCGGCCAGGCGGAAGCCGCGCTGGGCGCTCTCGTGCTGCAGCAGGCGGCTGGCCAGCCGGTACGCCAGGCGCAGGTCGCTGCCGAAGTAGGCGGCCGTGCGGCGGGTGGCATCGTGCAGCTGCAGGGCCACGCGCCGCGACTGCGCCGGGTCCAGTGCCGACTCGTTCCGCGACAGTCGTTCCGCCTGGCGGGCGGCATCGTTAGCGGGGAGGCGGTGGTGGCATCGTCACCGTCCCCACGTCCCCGTCCCCCCATCGTCCCCCGCCCCCGGGGACGCTCACCCAGGCCCGGAGGGCGGCGAAGGCCAGGGAACTGCAGTTGAAGAGGTTGGGGGGCAGCCAGCCCTTGTGCTCATCACAGTGTCGGACTGCTGTGCCTGCGGGGACGGTGGCCCGGTGGTGACACCGTGGTGTCACCACCCCTGCCCTGGCCCAGCGGTGACACTGCCGGGTCACTCCACCCTAGCTCCGTGCCAGCAATGCCACCAGAGCGTCACCCCCCCAGCCCCATCCCAGCTCTGCCACCACCACCATGTCACCCCCCTGTCCTGTCCCAGCAGTGCCACCAGAGAGTCACCCCACCCCAGCTCCATCCCAGCAGTGCCACCACCATGTCATCCCCCCGCCCCACCTCAGCGGTGACACCATGGTGTCACCTCCCCCCATGATGTCCCAGTGATTCCACCACTGTGTCACCCCCCAGCCCTGTCCCAGTGGTGCCACTGTGGTGTCACCACCTCCAACCCATCCCAACAGTGCCACCACACTGTCACCCCCCCTTCCCTCTCCCAGCAGTACCACCATGGTGTCATCCCCTCTCAACTCAGTGGCGACACCATGGTGTTGCCTCCCTGACCCCATCCCAGTGGTGCTACCGCAGTGTCACCGCCCCCATCCCATCCCAGCAGTGCCACCATAGCGTCACCCCCCCCGGAGCTCTGTCCCAGCAGTGCCACCACAGTGTCACAACCCCTGTCCCTGTCTCAGCAGTGCCATGGTCTTGTGTTCCCCCCATCTCAGCGTTGCCACCACGGTGCCACCCCCCACCCCGTCCTCACATCCCCCCACCTACCGATGGATCCCTTGGGGCAGGGGGCAGCGGCGGGCAGCCCGAAGCGGGTGCGGGGCCACCAAATGCTGGCCTCGATGGCACGGGGACAGCTGTCGTAGTTGACTGTGGGGCAAAGCAGGGCATCACGCTGGGGTGACAGCAGTGGCACCTGGTCGCTGGCACCCAGGGTGACAGCAGGGTGACATAGGGTGACAGCAGGGTGGTAGCAGTGGCACTTGGTTGCTGGCACCCAGGGTGACAGGAAGGTAACAGCAAGACGACACAGGTTGACAGCAAGGTGACAGCAGGGGCACCTGGTCGCTGGCACCCAGGGTGACAGCAAGGTGACACAGGGGTTCAGCAGGGTGACAGCAGTGGCACTCGGTCACTGGCATCCAGGGTGACAGAAGGGTGACAGCAGATTGATGGTGGCACCCAGGCCCCATCACCCACCTTCGCAGCCGCTGGCCGTCACCTCGGCGAAGGGGTTGTCACAGCGGTCGCAGTGGCGGCCGATGACGCCGGCCTTGCAGGGACACTGCCCGCTGGTGGCATCGCAGAGGCGGGACAGGGACCCGGTGGGGTAACAGTCGCAGAGCAGGCAAGAGTCGCTGCCCGCTGGGCGGTAGTGGTTCTCCTGGGGGGGGTGATGGGTGGCACCATTCGGGGGGGTTGCCACCATCCCCCTGGGGTCACCGTGGGCACGGGACGCTGGGGACGGGGACTCACCTTGCAGCGACACTCGCCTGTCGTCTTGTTGCAGTCGGGGTCGAAGCCCTTGGTGACGTCGCAGCTGCAGGGGCCGCAGGTGGGGTGGCCCCACCACCCCCGCGGGCACGGCTGGGCCTCCCTGCCCGGGTGGCATCGCACGATGTGGCACAGCGTGGCACGGCCTCCACATCCAGCACCGCCACCCTGCTTGTCCCATGCCCACCCTGTCCCTTGCCCCTTGCACAGCCACTATGGTTCTTGCACGGGCAGCGTGTTCCTTGCACGGGCACCGTGCCCATCCTGTGCCCACTGTGCCCCTTGCACGGCCACCCTGCCACTTGCATAGGCATCATGTCCCTTGCACAGCCACTGTGCCCACCCTGTCCCTTGCACACCCACCATGCCCCCTCACACACTCAGCAAGAGGGACGGGCATGTGCGAGTGCGACTCGCGCGTGCCCATCCCTCGCTGCCACTCACTTGTGCTCGCAGTAGGGACCGAAGTGACCTTGGGGACACTCGCATGTGTAACCATGCACCGAGCCTGGTTTGCGGGCGCAGGTGGCTGGGGACTGGCAGGGGTTGAGGGCACAAGCGCTGACACAGCTGTCACCGAAGTAGCCTGGGCACGAGGACGGGCATGGTTGGGGACATTGTAGAGAGGGGGTGTCACCGGGGAGGGTGGCAGTGCCCAGGGAGGGTGGCAGTGCCCTGGGGACAGTGACAAGGAGGTGGCAGTGCCCAGGGAGGGTGACAGTGCCCTGCAGGTGGTGATGGGGGTGGCAGTGTCCTGGGGACAATGATGGGGGGGGTCCAGGGAGGATGGCAGTGCCCTGAGGACAGTGATAAAGGGGGTGGCAGTGCCCAGGGAAGGTGGCCATGGCAATGGCAGCAGTGCCAGGAGTGGCAGTGCCCAGGGGACAGTGAGGGGTGGCAGTGCAGGGTGTCCCCAGGCACTCACCGGGGTGGCAGCGGCAGGAGAAGCTGTCCCAGTCGTCGCTGCAGTAGCTGTGGGGGGGGCAGGGCCCCGAGTCGCAGGGGTCGGGCAGGGCACAGCCCCCCTCCACGTTCACCCGCGCCGCCTGCGCCACGCTCAGTGCCACCGCGCTGGCCGCCGTCTCGCCCACACGCACGCCCTGCGTCACGACCACATCGTCACCCCTCCTGCTGTGCCTCAGTTTCCCTCGCTAGAATCCGGCCCCCCCCCTCCATGCCACCCCGTCCCCACATCAACGTACCCCCAGCCCTGCCCCAGGAGTTATGCCCGTGCCCACATCCCTGCCCCCATGCCCAGCCCCAGGGCCGTGTCCCTGTGCCCCCACAGCCCCGTGCCCATGTGCCCCCCATCCCCACGTCCTATGTCCCTGTACCCATGTCCCTGTGCTCATCCCCTGTGCCCAAACGTCCCACGTCCCTGTGCCTTGTGCCCATACCCACATCCCTGTGCCCACGTCCCCATGTCCCCACATCCCACTGCCATGTGTCCCACGTTCCCATTCCCTGTGCCCATACGCCCATGTCCCCATTCAATGTCCCCATGCCAATACCCTGTGCCCATGTTCCCATGTCCCTGTGCCCATGCCCCTGGCCCCCACTGCCGTGTTCGTGTCTCCACGCCCTATGCCGCGTCCCCAAGCCCATACCCCCCTGTCCCTTTGCCCACCACCCCTGTGCCCATACGCCCCCTGTCCCCATGCCTCATGTCCCTGTGCCCAGATGTCCCATGTCCCCATGCTTTGTGCCCATACTCATGTCCCTGTGCCCATGTCCCCATGCCCGTGTCCCCACATGCAACCAATGTCCCCCTGCCTGTTACATCCCATGTCCCTATGCCATACACCCGTATGCATGCCCCTGTGTCCCTGTCCCTATTTGATGTCCCCATGCCCCGTGCCTGTGTCCTTAACCACGCTCCACGCCCACGTCCCTGTCCCCATACCCGTGCCCCCCCACCATACCCATGTCCCCACGCCCTATGCCGAGTTCCCAAGCCCATACCCCCTCGTCCCTTTGCCACCACCTCTCTGCCCATACGCCCAATGTCCCGTGTCCCCCTGCCCTATACCCAACACCCCCTGCCCGTGCCCGTACCTGCAGGCAGCCACGGAAGCCCTGCTCCACGGTGCCGCCGTCACCCGCCATCCCCCCCACGCTCAGTGTCCGCAGCCGCAGCCCCTGCAGCTCCCCGGCCACGTCGGCCACCGCCTGCGGGCACGGGGGGGGCACTTAGACACCCATGGGTGTCATGGTGGCACCCATGGGATGAGCAGAGAGGTGTGCCAGCTCCGTGCCTCAGTTTCCCCCCCCCCACCCCGGAGGTCCCAGCCTACCTGGTGGCGGCCATAGTCGAGGGCGAGGAGGAGGAGGGTGGCGGGGGGGGGGCGGCCAGGGGCCCCCCGCAGCTCCAGCTGGAGGTGGTGCCAGTCGCCATCGTTGACCTTGGTGTGGGGCAGCCGCAGCCAGGCCAGGCGGGAGCCCCCCTGCCAGACGCCCGCCTCCGCCTGCCCCTCGCTCAGCTGCCGAGAGGGACGTCAGTGCCCCCCGCACCCCGGGGGGGACAACACAGCCCTGGCACTGCCCCCAGGGCAATATCCCCCACCCAGGGCAATACCCC